TCTGGGCTAGCCAGATGGCTCAGTGGGTAGAAGTCTATTTTCAGGACCCATATGGTAGAGAGAACCAACTCCCACAAGTTGTCCTCTGACCTCCATATACACAATGTAAAACACACACACACACACACACACACACACAAATGTATAAAAAAATACAATTCATTATACTTTTCAGATTTTTAAAAAAATAATTTGTATTTATAGCATTTTAGGACCAACTTAACCTAGTTGTCAGTAAACTTGTAAGCAAAATGGTCTCTGCCTCAGCTACTCAAGTTTGCCTGTCTAGTGTCAAAGCAGTTAAATGAGCAGGCAGATCTGGACTCCGAAATCACTTCACCTCTTTAGCTGGCTGGAGAGTTAGAGCAGACTGGACTTTACGCATTCCTGCCACCTTCCCTCACTACCTCTTCTCTTTCCTTCTGGGGCAAGGACATGATTTCCATCCGAACTGATGGGAAGACTCCTGACACCACAGCTCACACCATACCATCCTCCTAGCAGGGTCATTCGTCCGGGTGGTGATGGGTATGAGAAAGTTCAGACCCGACTCGGAACGTCCTATCATTACTACAGCTCAGGTTCCATCACCTGGGTGGGGTCTTTAAGATATGGAGTCCCTAAACTACTGAAAAAAAGCAAAAGAGAATGCCAGGATTCCTGTAAAAGTGTACTTACAATTTTGTTGGTAAGTAGGCCGCAGTGTCATCCTTACTTCTGATGATGTCGTTACATTTATCTAGTGTTTGGAAAACTGTATAAGTATCCCCAATGCTATAAAGGGCTGCAAGGTTTTTAGCTAACAATTTTCGAGTAGGTGGTCCAGGCGAACTGCTTATTAATCCAGTTAATTGTTCAACAAGTTTTTTCTGTTTTTCTTTTACATCTGTCTGTTGTTAAAAAAGAAAAAGACCATCATTTTTTCCTTATTACCTGTATTACTTCCTAATCAAAAATTACTTAATGTGTATAGTGCTCTAATAATTAAAATCTGTATTCATTAAGCATAACTCACAAATGAAAACTTTTATGAAAATGAAAACCTCAGTAAGAAATGATCCAGTCTTTTCCATATTAAATCCCCATTCCCCTTCAATATCCAAGTTAGATTTCAACAAAAGTGATTACTGTATGAGCCAAATAGTTTCCAGACCACCCTAGTAAGTTAAATCACATCCTAGGTGTATGAATGACTGATTTCTAAGGTTTGCCTATAAAAGCAGATGCAGTTGTCCGTAAAGTTATAGGTTAGCAAAAGAAACCAAAGAAGAGTTGTAAGCAACAGAACATAATTCCAAGATTTACACATAGTATCTAGCTAATATCACCTACTTACTTAAGAAATATGATACAGCTCCTACATGCCATGTACTAATAATCTAGGCCCTGGGAGCAACAGTGCACAAAATAGACAAGTCCTTATCCTCATGAGATTTACATGGTGGGGGGAGCAAAATATAATAAGAGAGTGTTATGAGAAAGCATCTCCCTCTAAGGTGAAAGTGAGCTACACAGCTATCTAAAAGAATATCCCAGAAGCAAGAACAAGATGTGCAAAGGCTTTGCAGATGAAGTAAGATTCGCACATCTGAGGACAGCAAGGTTAGGTTTCTCTTACTGGGTGGAGTAAAAGAAACAGTCAAAGATGAAGTCATAAGAAAACAGATGATGGCATCAGATACACTGGAGAACATTAAATTTATGCAGAGTGACTGTTTTAAGCAGAGACGGGTTGTACTCTAAATATTTTGACTGTTAGAACCCAGATGAAAGGCACTGGAGAGGCAGATGATGGGAAATACATGAATCCTAGAGATGCTTGTCGTAACTCCCTCAACACTTGCTAATCAACATGACACAAGGGGTAAGAAGAGGGAAGAATGACTTTAGGGGGTTGGCAAAGGATAGGTTTGAAATCGATAAACTGTTTTAAATGTGTCAACTCGGAGATGTTTGTGTACATGTGTAAAGAGAAGGAGGGTGGAGGGAGGGAGAGAGAAGAGAAAGGGAAGAGAGAGAAGTGGGGGGGCTATGAAAGAATCTCATGCTAGCCTTGAATTCACCACAGAGCTGAGAATGACTGTGAACTTTGGATCACCTGCCTCCACTTCCCAGGGCTGGGATTATTACTACGGCCACCGTATACACTTGTTTTATGTGGCACTAGGAATTAAACCCAGGGCTTTCTGCATGTTATAGGCAAAGACTCTAGCAACTGAGCTCCGCACCAGCCCAGGAGATGTCTTTCCAATGCTGGGTATGTAAAGTGGTGGTAGGAACCATAGGAGTGGGTATCACTGAACAGTAAGACTGACAACCCTCACAACAAAACACGGTGAGAGTTAAGTGTTTAGAGTGGAGGGTAAGCTCCATGACAAACAGAAGGGAGACAAAGAAAACCCATCCTGATCACTGCTGTGGGCATCTGAGTTATGTGCCAGCTCGAAAAATACTTCACTGGACGGGAAACAACAAATGCCCGCTTACATAAGATTTAAGGGACAAAAAAAAATTCCAGTAAAAGGTACTAGAGTATCCATGTCTTTCTATTACTGTCTTTCTAGCAATTAATGTGATTTTAACAGGCAGCAACAGTATATAGCACAACAACAGGAAAAGAACCTGGACAAAACCTGAAAGCCAAGAACTCCCAATGGGGAACCTAAAATTGATTCTCAGTCTTTCAGGCGAGAATAAATATGCACCAGAAATTAAAGGAATTACTAGTTGACCATCCAAGAGATGTACTAGAGTACACCTTATGCCAGCATTTCAGCACTCAGGCAGCTAACTCAGGGAGACAGCTCAATGTCTGAAGACAGTGTGGGATACACAGTGAGTCCCAGGCCAGCCAGGAAGAAATAAAAAAGAACTGTGAGACAAAGTAAATAAAAGCCAACAAACAAAATCTTCTACCCTCTTTTCCTCCATTCTAGAAGAAGGCTAGAGGCTTGTTTTCTGAAGAAGAATGAGACAGGACATCTTTGGGCATGAAGGATTGGGCACAACTGTGGACTGAGGTCACTGTACTAAAACAAGAATTAAATGAGTTTACATAATGGATGTTGAAGTCTTTAGGCTCACTATCCCAATTCCTCAGTCCCAGACAATTAACCACAATCCCTTCAGACTACAGAGTGTCTTCTAGGGGACAATTAGTCTAGAAAAATACACTAAGAGAGGAATGTCAGGACTAGCCTTTTGTGACGTTCAGTTTGTAAAATTCCACCATCTCCAGAAAACCTTTTAGGACTGACTCTTAAGATTTTCTCACTTGAGGAAAGCATCTAGTGTTAACGAAATAAATAAAACATGCATAAAATAAGCTTGAATCAAAGAGGCTGTGTAGGAAGTAGAAGACAAAGTAAGAATCTCTTATCACAGAGACCTTTCCAGGCACTGATGACTGTATGTGACACCGGCCACAGTGATGTTTTAATGCAGTCACACTGCGCTGCCTAGACAGAGATATGAAGCATGCAACAAGCAGGATTTAGACAGGGTTTGGGTTTTATTGCTGACTAAGAGAAGGATAAACTAGAAATTCCCATAGTATAACTTCCTCCAATTCCTGAGGTAAATGACTCATAACATTTTCAAAACACAATGTTTTCCATTTTCTTTGTATCAATCTCATGGTGGGACAGGGCAATACTTACCTTGTTGGCAGCAACTAGGACTTTATCAAGAAATCTTAACCATTCAAAGATAAACACTGGTCTCTTTGCTTCCGTAATCTGAGCCAACGCTTCTTCATTTAGCAATAAACTGTGAGCTAGCTCCATTACTGATGTTCTTAATTCACACCTTAAATGAACAGATTAGTTTAAAAAGAGTAAAATAGATATGTAAGGAATTTTTTATTTATGTGTAGGAGTGTTTTGCCCACATGTATGTATGTGTACCACACGTGTGCCTGGTGCCCACAGAGGTCAAAACGGGGTGTTAGATTCCCATGGAACTAGAGTTACAGGTGGTCGTGAGTCAACATGTGGGTGCTGGAAACCGAACCCAGGTCCTTGTCAAAAGCAACAAATATTCTTAACCACTGAGCCATCTCTCCAGCCCTTCCATGTAAGGATATAAAAGTCAAGTTTCATAAATGCAACCACTAAGACAGGGAAAGAAAGCACGGTTTCACTTCTCATTAGAGAACTAACTTTGAGAAGACAACGATATAAACAAAATTAAACTGTTTGGTGGTAAAAATGGAATGAAAGGAAAATGTAAATACTGCAAAAACACATTGTTCCGGAGCGGTTGTTTGGCTCAGAACATAGGTTATTAACTCATTCTACCATGAGAACCCCGAAGCACCGAGCTCAGGCATCTCGGCAAGTCTTTTCCTTCCTCTGCTGAGGTTTCAGGCACCTTTACCCTTTCCTTGCTACTGGGACCCAGAATACTGACTCCAAGATTCCGACCGGCGGGGGCGGGCCCGACGGGGACTCCATGGCAGGGGCGCCCGGGACAACCCCCCGCCCCCGGGATGCAGTGCTCCAGGTCTGGGTACACCGGGCTGCTCCGAGGACCCCGACAACTGGGGGGCCTGTGGGAAACGCAAGCCGGAGTTCCGGGCCGCTCTGGGATGTCAACCTCACGTCGTAGGAGTCCTCGATGTCAACCCCGGGGTTGAGGCTCCCCGGCCTCAAAACTCTAATTTCCTCCTTAGCCCTCTGAAAATGTCCTGGGACACAGGGATCGCTGTGCGTGTCAGCTTGCATGCTCTGACAGCGCGCGGGACCGCCTCACCTCCTAGTGTAGTTAGGGCCGACCCGCTGAGCTCCGCACTGCCAAGGGACCCGGATGCCCCGCCTCCCAAACTCCTGCCCCCAGGAAGCCGGAGGACAACGCATGCGCGCGACGCTGGTCATGCGCACGGGCACTCCCCTCCGCTCTCTTAACCCCGCCCACCCCAAGTTTCCCAGCGAATCTGCCGTCAGGGACAAGTGGGCTGTCTATGGGGCCTGCACCAATTGCACAGCGCATGCGCAGCGCGCTCTCAGCGGAGCTGGGTCGGGCTAGTGAAGCTCCGGTTTTAGGGTGTGCGGACCCCCTGGAGAATGACCGAGGTCGGTGCAAATTGGTTGTGACTGCCGTCACAGTGTCATCTACGCCCCATCCGTGAGTGGTCGTTTTAGTGGTTGGGTGCGGGAGGGAAGAGCCTCCGATTGCGGAGGCACCCATAGGAGGCATCCCATCTCTGTATACTCAGTAGCCCTTGCCTCAAACTCGGTGCCCAATATTGAAATAAGCTCACACCTATAATCTTCCTGTTGAGAAAATGGTTACTCCATTATTTCGGAACAGGCAAAGAGCTCCACATAATCTTGTTCCGGTTCTTTGACACACACCACCTCCAGCCATTAGCAAACACTGTGTGATCTCCCCGCTCCGATAGACCCAGAATCCTGGCCATTTCGCTGCTGTGACTTTTAAGTGATGGTTCAGGCCACCAACGTCTCTGCCTGGGTTATCTATCGACTTGTGGAGTTTATGCGTATGTTTGAAGGAAGTGAATAATGCTACTGTATTTTGTGGAACCTTCACATTCTAGGACCCAATTCCTTGTTCTTTTTTTTTTTTTTTTTTTTTAGATTTATTTATTTATTATACAGCGTTCTGCCTGTATGTATGCCTACAGGCCAGACGAGGGCACCATGTAATCGCTGGGAATTGAACTCAGGACCTCTAGAAGAACAATCAGTGCTCTTAACCTCTGAGCCATCTCTCCAGCCCCTTATTCCACTTCCTAACATAACTCCCTCACCATTAGTAATTAACTTCCTCAAACCGTATCATTTAATGAAACTGCAATGCCCAGCTGTGACATTTCAGTGTGATCTTATATGAAAATTATAATAAAGATGGAATATCCATAAAAGGCAGAGCTTTAAAAATAAGCTGTAATCCCTTGTACTTTTGGGGAGAGGTTATATTTTTAGACAGGGTCTCACTGTGTAGATCATACTGTCCTCAAACTGCTGGGTGCTGAAATCACACCAGAGGGCCACCATGTCTGTAGAGTTAAATGCTTCCCTTAAAAATAATCCAGTTTGAGTGGGGGGGGGTAGGTAGGGGTACATCCGCAGAGAAGCAGGAGGAGGGGTGAGGGGATAGGGGGTTCCTGGGTGGGTGGGGGATGGGGTAAGGGGGCAACATATGAAATGTAAATAAAACATCCAATAAAAAGAAATAATCCAGTTTGAACTAGAGATTGAGCTCAGTTACAGAGCATATTCCTTGCATGAATGATGCTCTGGGTCCGATACCCACCTTAGCAACAATTACAACTGCATTCTGTTTCAGGAGCAAGATCACCAAGACCTGGATTCTTTGTGGTTGTGAATTATTTAGCCAGATTGAGCCTCAGTTTTCCCAGCTGGAAAGTGGAACTAATTGTACATATCCACTGGGATGTTCATGAGCTAGGTGAGTACTAATGGTTGTATGTAAGAATACTTACTGCAGGTCAGTCTGACTCATCTCAAGCTTGAATACTTTCCTAAGAGGCGCTTTTAGTTGGCTCACTCATGTGTGCCTCGGATCCTCCCACGTGGACATCTCTATAGAGCTCCTTGAGTGTTCACTCATATGTGACCACCGACTTCATTCAATTAATTCATACTGCCAACTTTACAGAGTGCAATATGTAGTGTGACCAAAAAGTCACCCTAAACCAGGCGGTGGTGGCACTCAAGAGGCAGAGGCAGATGGATCTCTATGAGTTCAAGGTCAGCCTGATCTACAGAGTGAGTTCCAGAACAGTCAAAACTATATAAAGAAACCCTGCCTCCAGAAAACTAAAATCGAAAGTCACTCTGATACACAATCCTCTGGGTTACATGAATTGCTCAACAAAATTCACTAGGAGCAGGTAGATCATCTTGGACAATACTACAGGACTATATGAGAGTTTGTCTCATAACTGGAGAGTCACAAGTTCAAGGCTAGCGTGGACTACATTGTGAGCTCCAGGCCAGCCTGAGGTAGTGGGTGGCCTGATCTAAGGAGAGGAAAAAAAAGATAAAACAAGAATGTTTGTCTCTGGTGGGTTGAATTAGAATGACTTACAGTTGGCTCGTAGTTTTGTACACGTGGTTCCCAATTGGAGGACTTTTTTGGAAAGAATTGTTGGAGGAGGTGTGTCAAGGCAGGGCCTTTGAGGTTTCTAAAACCTACACCATTCCCTTTGTTGGGTTGGTGGCCATAGGGTTGCTAGGACATAGGGTGCTAAGATTCGCTATCTTTGTAAACAAGGGATCATCGTGAAGTGTTGCCACTCTCCATGGTTCACTTCCATTTTGATAAACTAAAATTATAGTGATGATGATAACTCTTACACTCGTCCTACTTGGTTTGTAGGTAGTATTACCATATGACCGAGAACATGGCAGAAGAAGAGGACTATATGTCGGATTCCTTCATTAATGTTCAGTAAGTAAATGTGTACACCTAATACGATGGCATCCAGGTATCCAGAAGACACATTACAGGTTACAGGTGTGTGCAGCAGTGTCTGGGTTTTTGCAGTTTTAGGGATTACACTCAGGGTTTCATGCATGCTAGGCAAGTACTCTGACAACTGGGCTACCACCCTAGCTCAGGATGTTTTTTAAGATATATTTTAATTTTTAAATGTTATTTTTCATTGGCGGGAGAGCACTGCACCCATGTGGAAATCAGAAAACAACTTTTGGGTGCCACTTCCCTCCCTCCAGTGTGCATTCTAAGAACCAAACTCAGGCGCTCAGGCCAACACGACAAACCTGTTTACCTGGGAAGCCATCTTGCTATTCCAGGACATTGTTTTTAAAATATGACATTAAAATCAACCTTACTTTCAGGCATGATGACACACACCTTTAATCCTAGCACTTGGGAGGCAGAGGCTGGTGGATCATCCGACTGAGTTTGAGTCAGACTGTTTTACAGAGAGGGTTTCAGGACATCCAAGGCTTCACAGAGAAACCCTGACTGTAAACAAACAAACAAAAAGTCATCTTCTTGTTTCCTAGAAAACACCCTGTGTCCATACACAGATACATAGACAGTCATTTTCTCGTCTCTCTCAGGGCTAAGCATGTTACTTCTGCTCTTGACCCTCGATGGGTGCCCTCTTCTGTCTTGTATCCTTGTTTGCCTCCTCCCTTTATGGAATTTTATTCTCCCATCCAGCCTTTATTCAGCTTTACTGTTCATTGTTATTTACCTCTTAGAAAAATTACTCCAAAGTAATTCTAACATTCTCAACTTTATATTGCCTTCAGCTTCCCACAGTCTGTAACTCATTGCTCTGCTGCAAACTGGGAGCAAACTTCCCAAACTCATCTACAGCATTCTGCTGTTTTTCAGAGACGACGTCAGACCGGGTGTGCCAATGCTGAGGCAGATCCGAGAAGCCCGTCGAAAAGAAGAAAAGCAACAGCAAGCTAATCTGAGAAACAGACAGAAGAGCGTGAAAGAGGAAGAGCGGGAAAGACGTGACATCGGATTGAAGAATGCCCTCGGCTGTGAAAACAAAGGGTTCGCTTTGCTCCAAAAGATGGGATACAAGAGTGGGCAGGCTCTGGGCAGGAGCGGTGAGTGACGTGTGGGGCTGGCTCTGTGCTCATCAGTCCTTTCAGAGATGTCATCGCACGTCCATTTAAGATGCCTCCCGTGCCAGCATGAACTGCTTTGCCTCCTGTCACAGCCTTGAGGGAACTGGCAGGCGGCTGACAGTGGAGTCTGTGAAGAATGATGGCAGGTCATGGGTAGGGAAGCACAGTGGTCAGACAGCAACACAGCAACTTTGGAGACCACAGCAGGACTCTTCCCAGGACGCCCTGCACCTATGGCACCAGTCTGAGTGACCTTCCAGTTGCAGAAGCCATGTTCCCCTTTAGGAAATGAAACTGCTTATTAAGATGCAGCAGCTATAAATGATGGCTTCAGTTTGCTTTTTTCTATCTTACTTGCTTTGATTTTTTCATCGTAATTGCTTTGATTTTTCATATAGGAAGACTATTTTCTCTTGAGGTTTCTGCCCACTAAGACTGTTGTGTCTGTGATGTCACTTTTTAAAATGGCATAAGTCCACTGGGGAGGCAGAGGCAGGTGAGCCTCTGTGAGTTCAAGGCCAGCCTGGGCTACCTAGTGAGTTCCAGGACAGCCAGAACTACATAGTAAGACCCTAACTTAAAGAAAGAAGGGAAGAAAGAAAGAAGGGAGGGAGGGAGGGAGGGAAGAAAGGAAGGAAGAAAGACAGACAGACATAAGAGGATAAGTGGTCTTACTGAGAAGGAGATAGTTAAAGGCAGGAGAGGCATTAGTTAGGTGTATTTGCTGACAGAGTGTTAGTTCCCAGAATTCAGTTTGCAGTTTCATGAGACTGGGAGGGGGATTAAGAGCATTGTAATGTTGCATACTCTACTGACTGACCTGAACTTTGTGATAAATAAAGTATTTCTAATTCCCTCCCCCTTTTTAGGAGACGGTATTGTTGAACCAATTCCTCTCAATGTCAAAACAGGTATATAATTAAGTCATTTTTTATTATAACTATAACTTAGGTTGTTTTGCTTCGTAAAAACTATGTGATAGTTGTCCTTATAGTTGCTATCATCAGAAGCCTGTGAAATAGTAAAATATTAAGCTTCTAAATCTTTTTAAAGTTATTTTTATAGTAAGTTTTGATGAAATAGAAGTACTGGAATATAAATCATAAAAAATATGGGGACCAGTCTTTTGTAATATCACATCTTCAGGAGATGGGGAAGGTAGCCTGGCTACATAGTGAGACTTTGCAAACAAGTTAAGGACGAGGGATGAAGCCCATTTATTGACTACCTGCCCACCCAGTGTACGGCCCCACCTCTGGTCCCAGAGCCACAGAAACTGGGGGGAAAGAGTTACAACTGTGGAGAGCACAGTTTCTTATTTATTGTAATGTACTAAAAATGTTCTAAAGCAGATTTATCAGTGGCAGTTTTTGTGCCTAATTCCTTGGATTAATTCAAGAGAAAAAAGCATACGCTTAAGAAAATGTGGTAGTTGATAATTTTCCTAATTTTTAAAACTGTGTGTAGCATTACTATGTTGGATGAGACAGATCTTTGTCAAAGTCAAACCATGCATTTGGGCCTTAAGACCAAACAAAAACTAAATCCTCGTATTCTCTGTTGCCATTTTAATGAATCAAGTTTGGATAATTGTATTCTAGTGAGAACTGCATTTAATTTCTTAAGTATTTAAATTGTTGTGTTTTGAAGTTTTTTTTTAAAAAATAGTAATTTCTTAAGTTCCTCATCAGATTTTTGTCTATGACCAGGAAAAAGTGGCATAGGTCACGAGTCATTATTAAAGCGGAAAGCAGAGGAGAGGCTGGAAAACTACAGGAAAAAAATTCACATGAAAAACCAAAACCTAGCAGAGGCCACCGAGCAGTTTCGGTAAAGCAATTGCTTTGAGCTTGTTTTGCTTCCAGTCCACTTAACTGTGGTGCGCTCCTCGATGCTTGCATCCGTAAAGTAGTGGGATGCAGACACCACTGTACCGTTCTCCTTCCACCAGGATGCGACTGAAGAGTAAGCAGGATGAAATGAGGCTGGAAGGAGACCTGAGAAGAAGCCAGCGAGCTTGCCAGCAGCTGGATTCCCAGAAGGTAGGTGGGCTTCTGCTTCCGGTTCTGTAGTGTGGGTACCTGGAACAGTTTGACTCATGTTTTTATTAACGAAAAACAAAAATCAAAACAAAGCCCTGTTTATACGTCCTCACCCCAGAAGCTGTCATTTGATGTGCACCTCCGACAGTGGTGACTACTGGCTTAGTCCAGGAGCTCACTTCCTAGTTGTCTAGCAAGGGTTAAACGACCTTTCTCTTCCTCAAACTATCATTACTCAGGACTGAAGTGTGTAGACATTCTGTTCCCCGTTATGTTTAATTTACCAGAATAACTTAATTTTAGTCTATTACTCACACTTCTGTGTATCTTTTGGAAAAAATCAAGGTGGAGTGCTTTTATTTCACACAGGAATAGTTTTAAAAGAAATCTTTGTCTTTCACAAAACACAATGAGTACTATCAAAGTAAAATGACTTCACTTGTCTCAAATATTGGTGTAATTTCCATGGTGTGTAAGCATCTGGGAGGAATGTCCCGCTTCACTGTATTCCCATCGTCTTACGTGTGCTCCTGACACTTACTGACCTCCCTCCTAGCACGTCTATAGTTTTATACCCAGCGCCCATCTCTCCTGCTGGACTGACAGCGGGAACTTGGAGACAGACTGCTAATTGTCCTCTCAGCCCTCACGGTGGTCCAGTTCTCTACTGAGAAATTATACTCCGTAAATATTATTTGGAAGAACAAATTCACATTAACACAAACATACTATGACACCACAAGTATGCTTAGCTGTGTTTTAAAAAATAATTCTGTACTTTCAGAATATTCAGGTTCCCAGGGAGGCGTGGTACTGGATGAGGCCCGAAGAGGAGACTGAGGAAGAGGAAGAGGAAAAGGAAGAGCAGGATGAAGATGAGTGCCCAAGTGAAGATTTGAGTGTATGTGTATGCATTGCTCATTTGCTCACAGCAGGGTCATGGCCTGGCTCTGCTAACACTTGAAGCTGGGTAATTCTTTGCTGTGGGCAGCATGGTATGATGTGTAGCAGTATCCGTGCTGCTTGGCTTGAATTCTAGCACCCTGACTAGGGGTGGGGAGAGAATGAAGAAAGGGCAGACACAGACAGGCATACAGGAAAACTAGGGTGAAGTGGAGTGCTCACCTTACAGGTTACCTACTAACCCCAGCAACCTTTCGATCCAGTGGGTTTATTAGGAACAGCACTGGGTGGGCCAGGCTAGCTGGTCTTGATGACGTGGGCGGGCTATAACACTCCAGAGGCAGAGACCAGTGTCTGTACATGCTGGTCAATCATTCTCAGCCCCCTGAAGAGAGCTTAGCTGTTCTCCTTGAGCCTCTCCTGTGAGGCTGAGGCAGTGGAGTCCTCACCTGGCCATGCCGATGTCAGCAATACATGGTCATCCAGGATTCATTCACTCAGGGGCTCCCCTGTTCCCCACACAACCGCATACCAGGTCCTTGCCCTCGAGATGCCATTTGCACTTCCTCTTATGACAACCAAAGAATGTTTCCAAGCATTTCTAAATAACCCTCAGCTGAAAGCTGCTGGTTTACGGGACTGTGTTTCTAGCTCTGAGATCAAAATTTCCTAGAACTTTTCCATTTAGTTTTAGTCCGCTGTCTTGCCTGAGCTTCAGTTTAGATGACAGATTTGCTGCAAGTGCAAATGATTGCAGTTGGCTTTGTTTCTGGTTAAATTTCTAAAAGTGTTGCTACTGTGTACCTCATCCAGTCACAAAACAGAGAAAATAAAATCAGAAGGAAGTAGAGTGTCACCAGAGATGCCTCAGCAAGTGAAGGCCCTGCTGCCAAGCATGACAACCTGAGTTCAATCCCTGGGACTTGCTGGAAGGAGAGAACTACATGCTGGAAGGAGAGAACTAGCTCTCCCATATTTTCCTCTGTTCGCCAGTTGTCTCTTGTGGGCAGGTGGTTAGTCAGCTGAGCCATGCCCAGATATCTCACCTCTATTCTGACCCCTTGAGTAACTGAGAGTGCAGCAGAAGAGCTGCTGGGCCTGAGTTATTGGACTAAGATCCAGGAAGCACGGTCCTGGTCAGTATGAGCCTGTGTCTGTGTCCTCTCCCCAGGTGACAGAAAAACTGCACATCCTCACTGGCTACTTACGAGAAGAACATCTGTACTGCATTTGGTGTGGGACAGCCTATGAAGGTAAGAAAATGGTCTATACTTTAAAATGTACTGCCTGTTGTTTATTTTAATAAAACTCACATTTCCTACAAACAGTAGAAGTGGCTTCTTATTCCATTCAAGTTGCAATGTAGGACTGGTATTGCAAAGAAATAGTGACTATAGAAATAATTGAGTTGGAGGCTGGAGAAATGGCTCAGAGGTTAAGAACACTGACTGTTCTTCCAGAGGACATGAGTTCAATTCCCCTCTCCCTCTTCCTCTCCATTTTCCCAACACCCACATGGCAGCTCATAACTCTGTAACTACAAAATCTGACACTCTCACACCCTCACATAGGCATACGTGTGCAGGCAAACACAAATGCACATAAAATAAGAATAAATAAATTTTATAAAAAAGAATTGAGTTCTTATTAAAATCCAACATTTAATTTTTCAGTAACTGAGTGCGCAGGAGGGAATTTTTTACCATTCTCTTACTAAAGAAATAATTTCAATTCTAAAGAATAACTTAAAGGCCAGGCGTGGTGGCATACATTTTTAATCCAAGCACTCAAGAGAGGCTGGTGGATTTCTCTGAGTTCAAGGACAGCCTGGTATACATAGTTCTAGCCCAGCTACGGCTACAGAGAGACCCTATCTCAACCACCATCTCCATCAAAAACAAAAACAACAACAACAAAAAGCCTTGAAGATAATGATTTTTTTCTTGGTTTATTTTTGAAGATTCATTCTTTGCTATATGCTTGCATTAAGATTTTAGAACTAATTTTTATTTAGGCAGATTATTGTCCCTGACTCATACACCAGGCTGGCCTCGAACTCAGAAATCTGCCTGCCTCTGCCTCCCAAGTGCTGGGATCAAAGGCGTGCGCCACCACCGCCCAGCTTTGCCAGATACCTTAACAGAGCCAATTGTCTTCCTTGTTCGTTTCACCTTGACTGACTTCTAATTAAGGAAGAACTTTGTATTTGAGAATGAAGATTTTTTTATATAATCATTTTAATCTCTTAAACTTTTATGTGTGTAGGTGCTATGCCTCTGTGTACATTTATGCACCCCATACGTTTAGTGTTCATGGAGGCCAGAAGGCATTGGCTCTCCTGGTCCTGGAGTTAGACAGTTGTGAGCCACATGCAGTGCTGGGAATTGAACCCAGGACCTCTGGAAGAGCAGCCAGAGCTCATAACCACTGAGCCACATCCTCAGCCTTCATCTCCTCATTTTCATTATTGTTTTAATCTTTTCCCCATTTATTTTGTGGAATAAATAACAGACATGATTGGTCAAAAATACTATATACTATCTTATAAGTTTACCATAAACGTGTATTTACCTTTTATTTCTCACACATAAATTACAGATAAAGAAGACTTATCTTTGAATTGCCCAGGACCAACGTCTGCGGATCATGACTGAGATTGCTCCCAATAAAGTAAAATTGTTTATGTGGGTAGGGAAAAAAGGCCTTTGTATAGCACTTTATTCTTTGAGAAATATGTTTTTCTTTGGATAAAATTGCTCACTGATTTAGGTAGATGTTACTGTTACTTCCAAATCCAAGTACCATAGACAGGAACTATTAGGACTTAGGTGGCCTCGTGATGCTTGTGGAGGTTAGGGTACCAACAGGTAACGGACTTAGTGCCCTCCTTACTGTGGATAAATTGAGAAGTAAGATACGGTAATAGGAAGAAATCAGTTGTCTGCTTTAGGGCTGTACCTGGATGGAAGAAGGCCTGCCAAGCCTGTCCAAGATCCTGAGTTCAGTCACCAGCACGACAATTAAGCCCACTGGCATGAAGCTGGAATACAGAACAAGGCCAGCTCTTTCTAATCAGACTACCTAGTAGTTATTTGGAAAAATGGCATGCCTGACCTCTGCCTGTGGAGCCTGCTTTGTGTTCTAGAACCGGTGTCTTGAATTTTATCCTGGTTTGTCTTTTAGAATAAACACAGCTGTTAAGAATACCAGATAGCATCTTGTAAGAGGGCACCAGTACCTCAGGTGGAAGCATTCTTTTTGGAATGGGTTGTCCCCACAGAAAGAATGGAACAGACCTGTATAGAATTTCTAGACTTCATGGGTCATAGAAGGCTGTAGTAACAACACTGCCATTTTTTTCAGTTGCAGCAATGGCTAATTCTGAAGCCAACTGCTCCCCAATAGTAACTTTTGCTTGAAAAGTATCAGCACCCTTTTCAACCAGCTGGACCCCATAGTCTCTTTAAGTGGCTCCCATTTACAAACTGGATTAAGTCAATAGGTTGAGTTGGATCAACTCGACCTAAATCAATGAGATACTGTAGTCTCCTGAGACTCAAAGGCTGATACTGGTGCCTGAAACTATGTCCTTCAGATGCAAAAAAAACTGGGAGTACCTGGCTGACCCTGCCAAGTTTCCTGAAGCAAGGCTTGAATTCGCCATCAAGTCTGGCTGCATTCTTCCTGATATCACAGAAGACAAACTCTTGAGAATGCTTAGCACTTGGAAGGATCCACGACAGATTTTCTTTGGTCTTGTTCTTGGCTGGGTAGTAAATATGGCAGATAAGGAAATTCTAAAACCTACAGATGAGAATCTTCTTAAGTATTACAGTTCCTGAACTGCCTTCCAGACTTGTGAGCCTGACAGGCTGCATGGATTCTTGTGGGTCTTAAAGCCTTCGGATTGGTACCAGCCTTCACTGTGGTTATATCTCTTGTTCCTTTTCCATCTTAAAGAATAGGCATCAAAAGCTTCATGAAAAAAAAAAAAGGAATGCCAGATAGCATTTTCTAGATGCTAGTTCTCTAGAGTAGGGAACACATCACAGACTAAGTAGTCCCTGTCAGATAAAACACTTCTCTCTGGGAAAGGAAGGAGTTCCGAGTCAGATGATCCCATACTCCTGGGTCATCTCCAGGGTCGGACCTCAAAGTCGTGGGCCTTTTTCCAAGTTAGTATGCCCAGGGTTCTCTTCTAGTGGTCTCATCTGAACTGATCAAGGGTAGCACTTAAATACCCACTTTTTAAACTCCCAAGAGTATGCAGCAGCCTGCCCTTGCTTTTCAAAACACCACAGCATCACAAGGGAAAGCACTGCAGAGGAGTGACTGAAGGAACACAAAGTGGTCAGCACAGTGTAGCCCAGAACAGCAGGAGGACTAGGGGAGAGCCGACTTTCCCAGGTGACCATGTGACATTCCAATAGTAGTACACTAAGCCTGGGTTCTGAGGGACGGGTTCTGAGGGACGGACAGGACTTGACTATGCAAAGCTATGAGGAGGCGGCTGCTCTCTAACTCAGCAGTTCTAAGCATAGAAAATGGACCCACACAAGTCTGGTTTTCTGCTTTGAGTAATCTTGTCAAAAAGTAGAAACAATCCAAATGTCTAGTGAACAGATACATAAGTTACATATTTATACAACAGGACCCTATTAGCACAGAGGAGTGTATTACTGAGACCTGCTATGTGGATGAAATTTAAAAAATGATTGGTACATGGGAGTGACACTCTTAGAAGGTGTGGCCCTGGTGGAGTAGGTGTGTCTTGGTGGGTGTGGCTTTAAGACCCTCATCCTAGCTGCCTGGAAGTGAGTATTCTACTAGCAGTCTTCAGATGAAAATGTAGAACTCTCAGCTCCTCTGCACCATGCCTGCCTGGATGCCGCCATGTTCCCACCTTGATAATGGAATGAACCTCCGAACCTGTAAGCCAGCCCCAATTAAATGTTGTCCTTATAAGACTTGCCTTTGTCATGGTATCTGTTCACAGCAGTAAAACCCTAAGGAAGAAACATTTCTATATGAGAAACACTCCATGTAAGGTTCTATTTATTTATATTCATGGAATGGGCATATCTATAGCCAGGAGGCATATGGGTGGTTTTCTAGAGCAGGGAGAAGGTGATGAATCTGTTAATGGATGTGGGTTCTTTGAAGTGACAAACATGTTTTAAAACTGAATTCTGTGTTGATGCAACTCTGAACAGAACAAACACTGTCAAAGTGTAGATGTTGAGTAAGTAAATTGGTTACAATGTGAATTATAATGAACAATATTTTTACTATGTTTTTAAAATTAGGTAATATGGGTATGGGTGTAGGCACGGGTACCATGTGTACAGGTTAAAGGACTACTTGTGTAACTCAATTCTTTCCAATCATGTAGGTGTTGGGGATTGAACTCTGGTTACCAGGCTTGGCTGTAGGTGCCTGTACCTGCTAAGTCATCTCGCTGTCCCTAAAACTTTAAGTTGAGGGGAATTTCAGGTACAAACAATGGGAAAGCATATGAGTGCTAGATCATGTTCAGGTAAAACTAAGCGGGTCTGTGTAGCTGTGCCTTAATCTGGTAATACCAAGCATAGGACCCACTGGGGAGCACAGCTGCCAAGTCACATTTCTGTCCTCCAAACCCATAGTAAGTGAATATAATGCAAATGACCCAGTCTGTGGTAAAATATTGCATCTATAGGAAATTAAATATCACAACTAAATCATCAGCCAGGCTCCACATAGTCTGGAAGCATTTTGTTTGTGCCACAGTGCTGCTCCAGTGTTCAGTTAGTGTTGAAGTTAGTGCTAGTGTAACTGCACCCATCTAACCACGGGACGGACGGGATGCGTGAGCCACTTCCTGGGGAGAGGACATTCTACAGACATATGTCAAGTTCCTCAAGCAAATGTTGAGAGTAAAGAAAGCACAGGGAGTATGCTCTCGAGTAAAAGGACATGTCAACCAAAAGGAACCTTGGATTCTCCTGGTTTTTGAGATTGTAAAATTGAATGCAGACTAATTATGTGATAATTATGTTTTTTAGTTTGAGTAGCAGTTGTGTGTGATTTTATTACTATTACAAAGAACTTATCTATTACAAGTCAACTTTTAAATATTTATGGCTACAACTGAGGTTCACTTTAAAATTTTCCAGCCAAAGAAATAAAAAGGAAAGGGGTCAGCATAACAGCAAAGGTAAAATATTATTATTTGTCAAAGCCGCACAATGATACAAGACTCATTCTTGTTTATTTGAAGATAAGAGAATAGTGAACAAAAATATTTCTTATAATATGTTAACATGCCAGAGAACCTTGAGTTCTGGTGACCATTCAAGTGGGAATGGATGTTACAAGTCTGTGACTAGTGAGTCTGCAGATGATGAAGACTCGGAAAAGCTGACATTCAGATAGCCCATGTCACATGTAGTAGCTATGTACACAGGGCATACTTACTGGGCATGCAGCCTGTGCAGTTGCATGACACCATGCCACTGTCCCACACTTAGTCTCTTAAAAACCACATTGTATTTCATTTTAAACTAGGTCCCATGATTATGAAACCAGCTATACATGGGTATAGTAACACATAAATCTATGTGTATACATATGTATCAATTATGAATATATCTGATATAAATTTATGTTAAGTCTACATGTATATTTTTGTTACATATGTGTATTTAGTAGAAATGATATATTTACTCTGATAAAAATTTCCTAGTGAAGCAACTAGGTAAAAAAGTTTCTTTCAAAAGTGTACCTGGAATTAGTAAGTGAGGCCCTTCTCTACCCCGCTGTTGCTCTGATTAAGATACTTGGGATTTCCTAGTTTGGAGACTGAGAAAATAAATCCTCAGAAGTAAATAAAAATGCTAAAAGATGCCGGGCAGTGGTGGCGCACGCCTTTAATCCCAGCACTTGGGAGGCAAAGGCAGGCAGATCTCTGAGTTCAAGGCCAGCCTGGTCTACAGAGTGAGTTCCAGGACAGCCAGGGCTACACAGAGAAACCCTGTCTTGGAAAAAAAAAAAAAAGATAGTACACGTATTTTATAATGTAAAAATACCAGTAAGAGAAGGGTAAAATGTTATACTCTCCCTGACCATATTATTTGGTATTCCTCTTAAATGCAGGAATTTGTTCATTAAAGCTAATGTTAGTCTGGTTTAAAAGAGATTTTTTTTCTACCTAGAAAATTTGAAAAATGTGAATAATATGCCAGATCCCTGTCTATCCTCTCTTATATTTGGTGATGGCTAACATCTACCACAGCTGCTTTCCTTTTCTTCTCTGTGTAACTCCAGCTCAGAGGATCTGGTGTTCTGTTTTGGCCTGGGCTGTCACTGCGCTCACATACAAAAACGTGGACATGCAAATAAAATAAATATTTCTTTAAAAGAATAGTTTCTGAGAGAGAGAGAGACAGAGAGAGAGAGAGAGAGAGAGAGAGAGAGAGAGAGAGAGAGAGAGA